CTGACCTCCAGAGCTGCCACAATACATTATGTAATATGTCTAGTTTTCAACAAATAATTATGAGATTTGCAAAACAAAACAAACAACAACAACAACAACAACAAAACAGGAGAGTGGCCCATACACAGGAATAAAAGCAGTCAACAGAAACCACGTCTGACAAAGCTCAGGCATTACTTGCCACATATTAGACTTACTAGACAAAAGACATTAAATCGGGTATTTAAATATGTTCAAAGGAAACCACATCTAAAAAAACTAAAGCAGAGTTGTACTTCCAGAATGACGATGTGAGGAGCTCCATGAAGCTGTGCCCCTCAAAACTGGTGAAAAATATTTTTTAAAAATGGAAATGACCTAGGGTGCCTTGGTGGCTCAGTCAGTTAGGCAACCAACTCTTGGTTTTGGTTCAGGTCATGATCTCAGGGTCCTGAGATCAAGTCCCCACACTGGGCTCCATGCTCGACGCAGAGTCTGCCTGAGATTCTTTCTCTATCCCTCTCCCTACCCCTCTGTTCCTCCCCCAACATCCTCTCTCTCTGTCTCAAATAAATAAATAATCTTTTAAAAAAATGGCAATGATCCTAAGGCCATGCAACAAATAAACATTTATTCAAGAAAATGTACAAAAACTCAGTAAAAAGAGCAAGAGCCTGTGGCATTTACACCACGATCTATCCATCCCCTGTCTCTCTTAGCCAAGGAGAAGAAACTGCATGCCAAGTAGGTGCAGCCAAAAACACAGGGCTCCCTCCTCCCAACTCGCAGCTGAAGGCTACAGTAGTTTACTGGGAGAAGCAGGATTTCAGCATTTCTCACCACCCACCCCCTCAGATATTTGAGTCCAAGGCTAATTAGCAGCAAGGGAGCTGAGGGCTCCCTTGCTCTGCCCAGCTCCCATTCATGGGTTCACCTTGGAATACTGAGAATACTGGAGTCCCCAACCTCCACCCATCACCCTGTGTTCCTAAATCAGAGGTGTTACTAAGAGAGAAACAAGGGACCTTCAGTAAGATTAAAAGTTGATTCATCATCAGAAACAACAAAAAGTAACACATTCAAAATGCTCAAAAAAAAAAAAAAACCCCACTGTCAATCAAGAATCCTATACCCAGCAAAATTACCTTTCACAAAATGAAGGCAAAATACATTTCCACATAAACAAAAACTGAAAGAATGTGTTGATACCAGACACAACTTTCATAAAATATTAAAATAAGAATTTCAAGCTAAAAGTAAAGGATCACACCCCGTAATTCAAATCCACAAACAAAAAGTATAGGCAAAGATAATTATGTAATTATAAAAGACAGTAAAAATGCCTATTTCTTCTTTCTTCCCATAAACTGATTTTTAAAAGCAACTGCATAAAATACTATGTATATAGTCATACTGTTGGGCTTACAAAATATAGAAATGTGCTGTAACTGCCAACAATAGCACAAAGTAGCCAGGTGAGGAAAAAACTATTAGAATAAGGAAATGCCACCAGACAATAACTCAAATCCACAGGAATAAACAAAAACAATCAAAAATGGTAAGTAAGATTAACATAAATACTATAAACATATAATTTCTCTCCTTTATTCTCTCAAATTTTTTAAAAGACTTGAAATTATATATTAAGCTGTAATTAAAACAGGTCTCATTAGGCTTACAGTAGATAGAGGTTTGATAAATATAATAACAACAAAAAGGGGGAAAGAGAATAGAGCTATATAGGAAAAATGTTTCTTTTTTTTTTAAGATTTTATTTATTTGACAGCACAAGCAGGGGAAGTGGCAGGCAAAGGGAGAGGGGGATGGGGTAACTGCGTGATGGGCATCTAGGAGGGCACTTGATGTAATGAGCACTGGGTGTTATACGCAACAGATGAATCACTAAATTCCACTCCTGAAGCGAATAATACACTATATATTAACTAAATTGAATTTAAATAAAAAATTTAAAGAAAGAAATACCTCAAAAAATAACCTTCTTCTACCTACAATCTTTAAAGAGCAAACTAAACTCAAAGTTAACAGAAAGGAATAAAGATTAGAGTGGAAATTACTGAAATAAAGAAGAAAACAGAGAAAAATCAACAAAAGTTGTTTATTTGAAAAGATGACCAAAATTGACAAACCTTTAGGTTTTCTAACCAAGAAAAAAAGAAAGACAAATTACTAAAATCAGGAATGAAAGAGGAACATTTCTACCAACCTTACAGAAGTTAAAAGGCAATATGTAAGGGAATACTATCACAAACACATGCAAACAAATTAGGTAACATAGGTAAAAGAGACAAATTCTCTGAAAAACACAAACTACCAAAGCTGACTCAAAAAGTAACATAAAACCTGAATAGACCTATAAGAAGAGACTGAGTCCATAAACCAAAACTTTCTTGCAGGAAAACTGCAAAATCAGATAGCTTCACTGATGAATTCTACCACACATAATAAAGAATTAATACCAATCCTTCACAACTTATCTTAAACAACATAAGAGGAAGGAACATTTCCCAACTCAGTTTATGAGTTTATTTATTTTATTTATTTATTTATTATTTATTTATTTATTTATTGAGTGAAATAAGTCAGAGAAATCAGAGAAAGACAATTATCATATGATTTCACTCATATGTGGAATATAAGTAATAATGCAGAGGACAATAGGGGAAGGGAGGGAAAACTGAATGGGCAGAAATCAGAGAGGGAGACAAACCATGAGAGACTCTTGACTCTGGGAAACAAACTGAGGGTTGCAAAAAGGAAGGTGGGTGGGGGGATGGGGTAACTGGTAACTGGTGATGGGCACGTGATGTGATGAGCACTGGGTGTTATATGCAACTAATGAATCATTGAACATTATATCAAAACTAATGATGTACTATATGTTGGCTAATTGAATTTAAATAAAATAAAATATAAAAAAAAAAGATATTACAAGAAAACTACATACCAGTATTTCTTATGAATTTGGACACAAAAATCCTCAACAAAATACTAGCAAATCAAATCCAGCAACAAACAGGAAGATTATACATGATGATGAAGTGGAATTTATCCCAGAAATGCAAAGCTAGTTTAGCAGACAAAATTCCGTCAATGTAATACACCATATCAATAAAATAAAAAACAAAAACCACATGATCACCTCAATAGATCCAGAAAGGATTTGATAAAATCCAATACCCTTTCATAATAAAAGCACTCCACAAACTAGGAATAGAAGGGAAGTTCTTTAACCTTATAAAAAATATTTACCAAAAAACCACAACTAACACTACACTTAAGACTGGAAGTGTTTCCCCTAAGATCAGGTACAGGATAAGAATGTACATTCTCACCATTTCTATTCAATATTACTAAAGGACAATTAAGGGAAAAAATGAAAGATATCTACATTGAAAAGAAAGAAGCAAACTATCTCTATTTGCAGATGACATAATCTTGTATATAGAAAATCCTCTAAGAAGCAATTAAAAAACTATTAGAACTAAGAAAGAAGTATAGAAAGCTTGTGGGATACAAGATCAATATGTAAAAATCAATTGTATTTCTATACACTAGCAATGAAAAATCTGAAAATGATATTAAGAACACAATTCACTTACAGTTACACCAAAATAATACTCAGAAATAATAACTGTAACAAAAAGAAGTGCATGACTTATACCCTGCAAACTATAAACACCTTTAAAAGAAGTAAAAATGTAAATATATGAAAAGGTATCCATGCTCACACACTGGAAAATTTGATATTGTTATAATGGCAATACTACCCAAATGATCTACAGATTAAATGTAATCTCTGTCAAAATCCAAACTGGCCTCATTGCAGAAATTGACAAACTGATCCTAAAATTTCTATGGAAATGCAAGGGACCCCTAATAGCCACACAGTGTTGAAAACTAACAAAGTTGGAGGATTCATGCTTCCTAACTTCGAAACATATTATAGAGCTATAGTAATTAAGACAGCATAATGCTCCCATAAGGATAGATCTATAGGTCAATGCAACAGAATTGAGAGTCCAGAAAAAACCCTCACATTTATTGCCAATTGATTTTCAACAAGGGAGCCAAGACAATTCAATAAGGAATGACCAGTCAACAAATGGTGCAGAAACAATTAAATGATATCCACCTGTAAATGATGAAGTTGGATACATATCTAACCCTCTATTAAAAAAATAAAATGGATCAAAGGCCTAAATGTGAGAACTAAAACTATAAAACTCTTAGAAGAAAGCATAGGTATAAATTTCATGACCTTGGATTAAGCATAATTTCTTAAATATGACACAAAAACACACAGAAAAATATATATATTCGACTTCATCAAAATTTAAAACTTTTGTACCTGAAAGGGCATCATTAAAAAGGGAAAAACAACTAATATAATGTTGTATGTCAACTATACTGTAATTTTTTTAAGTTAAGTTTAAATTTTAAAAAAGGAAGTGGAGGGGCGCCTGGGTGGCTCAATCGTTAAGTGTCTGCCTTCAGCTCAGGTCATGATCCCAGGGTCCTGGGATCGAGCCCCGCATCGGGCTCCCTGCTCAGAGGGAAGCCTGCTTCTCCCTCTCCCACTCCCCCCGCTTGTGTTCCCTCTCTCGCTGTGTCTCTCTCTGTCAAAAAAATAAATAAAAGTCTTTAAAAAAATAATAAAAATAAAAAAGGAAGTGGAAAACAACCCACAGAATGGGAGAAAATGTCTACAAGTCCTATATCTGATAAGGAACTTTTATCTAGAATATAATAAAAAGACAAACATCTCAATTTAAAAATGGGCAAAGGGTCTATAGGGTCATTTCTCCAAAGGAGAAATCCAGATGGCCAATATACACATGAAGGATGCCCAACACCCTCAGTCACTAGGAATATACAAATCAAAACTGAAATAAGATCCCACTTCACACCTCCAAAATGGCTATAACAAAGGCACAGGCAATAACAATTGTTGGTCAGGAGGATGTAAAATTATTTCTACTTGCTGATCATTTACAAAGAAAATCCAATGGAATCCACAAAAAAAGCTACTAGAACTATAAGTGAGTTTAGTGATGTTACAGAAAACAAGATCTTCATACAAAAATCTACTGTATTACTATGTACTAGGTACTACTTGAATTAAAAATTTAAAAACTAATATTTATAATAAAATTGAAAATGTGAAATACTTAGCCAAAATTTGGTAAAAGATATGAAATACCTGTACACTGAAAACTATAAAATACTATTCAGAGAAATTAAAACCTAAATAAACTTGAGGATATGTCTTGTTAAAGGGCTGGAAGACTTGATGTTGTTCAAATATTAATTCTCCTTAAATTGATCTATAGATGCAAGGCAATCCCAATCAAAATCTGAGCAGGCTTTTCTCTTTTTTGGGGGGTGAAACTGACAAGCTGATTCTAAAATTTACATGGAACTACAAGTGACCTAGAAGAGCCAAAACAACTTTGAAAAAGAACAAACTTGAAGGGCTAACACTACCTATTTCTAGGAATTGTTTTATAAACACATGCACACAGTAATCATAGTATTGGTGTAAAGATACATAAATAGGTCAAAGAAACAGAATAGAGTCCAGAAATAATCCTACATATACATGGATAACTGATTTTCTACAAAAGTGCAAAGGCAATGCAATGGGAAAAATAGACTTTCCAGCAAATGGTGGTAGAACAGATGGATACCCACAGGCAAAAACTTCTTAGATACCATAGCAAGAGCATGTTCCATGAAAGTACAAATGAATAAACTGGACTTCATAAAAATTAAAAACTCCTGCTCCTCCAAAGACACTTTTAACAAAATGAAAAGCTACAGACTGGGAAATTATCTTTACAAAGCACATATCTGTAAAGGACTTGGACTCAGAATATGTAATATGTAAAGAACTCTCAAAATCCAACAATAAGAAAAAGCCAACAAAAAATAGGCAAAAGACTTAACACACACTTCACCAAAGAAGATACATGAAGCCCAAGCACATGAAAAGTTCAACATCATCAGTCATTAGGGAAATGCAAACTAAAACCAAAATAAAGTACTATATCATACATACTAAGAGCTAAAATTTTTTATAACTGATCACAGCAAGTGTTCATAATGATAAAGAAAAACTGGAACTCCAATTATGCTGCTGATGGAAATTTAAAACAGCACAACCACTTTGGAGAACAGTTTGGCAGCTTCCTAAAAAGCTAAACAGAAGCATATCATATTACCCAGCCATTCCATTTCTATGTATTTACCAAAGAGAAAAGAAATATATACCCATATAAACTCTGTGCACAAATGTTCATAGCTTTACATGTAACAGCCAGAAAGTAGAAACAAGCCAAACATCCATCAACAAGTGCATAGATAAACAAACTACGGTATGTCCTCACAATGGAATACAACTTAGCAGTAGGTATATCACAACATGGATGAATCTCAGAATAATTACCCTGAGTGAAAGCAGCAAGACAAAAAACAGTACATACTGTTATGATTCCATACTGATTCCATGGATACAATACTCTAGAAAATGCAAACTAATCTATAGTGACAAAAAATAATGATCAGGGAACTCACAGGATATGAGGAGGAGTAGGACAGAGGGAATATTTAACAAGGGACATGAGTGTTCTTTTGGGGGCCCATAGATACATTCACTATCTTGATTGTGACAATGGTTTATTGAGGATTTACCTATTAAAAGTTGTAAAATTGTGCACTTTAAGTATGTGTTTGAAGGGGATCAGAATATGCCACCAAAAAATAGGCTACTTTGGTATAAAGATTATTTAAAGTTGAAGGTACTTGAGATTCAAAAGATGCCAGGAAAAAGTCTTCTCTGAGTTTCCCTTAGCTTACTCAGAGCAGCAAGTTCTGGAAAATAAGACTGCCACAAATGGATCTACTCTTTAGAATGGATTTACTCCCAGAACGGAAAAATGGGAATAAAACCTACCCCAAATCCCTTCTACAGAGGACTGTAAATTACAGCCCTGAAGGAGAGGGAAAGACCACTCTCCAGGATAGACACACAGTGTCACAATCATTCCTGTTTGTTCTCCTGAAAACCCATTTATCTTCCCAAAAAGTCATTTATTTTCCATTAAGTGCCCTTCTCCCCTTTCTCCATTACTTACTACTCTAGGTATATAAACCCAAATTATAACCACCCCTCAGAGTTACTCATCACTGGGCATCTCCCACGTGTATGCATGTTGCTTACACAAATAAACTTTTCTTTTCTCCTGTGAATCTGGGATTTTTTGTCAGTTTAATTTGTGGGGCCTCAGCTTCTGAACCTAATAGGAAGAAGTTTCTTCCTCCCCTACATGTTGTTTATGTCAATTATACTTTGGTAAAGCTGGGTTTTTTTAAAAAGGAAGTGTTTAGTTGTGTTTTCTACTGTTTTTCCAATACTAAGAGAATGAGTTAATTCCATAAAAAACAACAAAGAATTACCATAGTTTCAACGATGATGGTGAGGTTACCTAGGCCATCAGTCAGAGCCACGTAGCTTCCTCCTTTCTCTAAGTGACCAACTGTCTTCAGGTAATACCAACCTGGTTGAGTAAACTGAGTGGTATGAGCTATAGAAAAGCAGAGAAAGATCCAATAAAATAGTGATGGAAGGGTTTCTTTAAAAAATTAAAAAATAAAGCTGTCTACTGGCTTGAGTCTGATCGAACCTAACAAGCTGTTTTCTATTTTAGACGCAAATACTTGCCAACCTCGTGTTTCAACTTTTGAATAATTAGTTCAGTTAAATGGTACAATTGTAGTAAGAATAACTATAGTTAGAATTATTGCTAAAAATAAATGAACCACACTATTAATTTAAGAGTATAAAGGGTTTTTTTTCCCCAAGAGTAAGATAAAGTTATCTCTTCTGAACCTTTGCTCCTCTCTATTTAACCCATCCTAATATAACTGCAAAAAATAAGAATAAAAAATAGTTAATATTGCATATCAAAAATTAAGTTTTATGGTTTCGAACAAGTTTTATTTGCAGAATATATGTTTATTGGGTACCTCCAAAGCTGGCCCTGAAAATGTACTGAGCAATATTCCATGTCCCATCCTACCCCCAAAACACAGCAACAATATTAGAAGAGTAGTTGACCTAGATAACGCGGGACCAATGATTAAAACATTTAAGTGGTTAACCCATGAGGACATACAAATTTATTTTTGAAAGTACAATTTAGAGTTTAGAATAATGTCATAATTTCATGACTAACTAACATCATGACTACAAATCTCTCTGAGGAAAACACATCAAATAAAAAATAAAATCCCCAAAATAAAGGTTTAAAATGAAAACTTCACTATGTTCATATTCAGAATTTTCCTAGGAAAGCATCCTGCCTTTGAAGAAATGGATTTTTTTAAAAGACTGTAATTATGATGTTAAAACAAAATGATCATAAATGTTTAATTTTTTACCAAAAATTATAGAAAGAACTTGAATATTATTTGACAATAGGATTTTTATTCTGTTTAAATTATATTTATTTTTAGTATGGTTACATTATTCATGAAAAAGTGGTACAGTGTCATCCACTGTCCGCATGATCTCAATGTCCCTTGCGACTAAAAACTGATAGTGTAACAAAAATTTTGTTCCTACAGCCCTCTCGATTGTCTTTAAACTATTTTGAAACTCTGTAAATTATAGGTAACTGATGGATGTGTAAATTATCTCCTATCTGGTAAGGACTTAATTGATTTCCTATCTTCCATGCTATGGGAAACCCAACCTGTCTCCATTTGCAATTTATCTCAAATTCTTTTATTCTAAATAAACGTATACTGTTTTGACTTTTCCTTTGAATTGATTCAACTGCCTGGTTCCCACTTATCACGAGTAGTATAAAATCTTTAACATGTGTTCATTTTTATGTGCGTGACAGTCATGATTTTCCATTTTTCTTAAAATTATCTGTAACAATACTCAACAGCATAAAGCCACCATATCTCACATAGCTTTTACATTTACTTATTCATTTAATAATTCATTTGATTTTGTTAGCACTCTATTCTCATCAACATAACTATACTAATATAAAACAATAAAACATCTCCAAGACTAGTTTTAAGACTTTAGATACTCTTGAATTGTAATAATCTTTACAAATACATCATTTTATTAGCAATTATCATAATTTATAATTATACATTTATCAACTATTTCATGTATTTGTTTCCATCACCAGATGATAATCCTTTTCCCTCCTCTCTCCTCCCTTTCCTTTTCTTTTCTAAGAGCCTGGTCTTAGAATGGAATACAAAAAGTAGTCTAGTAATCCAAAAGGCTCTTATACAACAGTATGGCAAATCCTGCTTACAACAGAGACACAAACTTAGAACTTACACACGACACGCACATACATGCGCGCGCGTGCACACACACACACACACACACACAAATTTGTGTAATCCCTTCTGTTTTCTGCTTTTTCTCCTAGAGAGAAATCTGAGGCATGAGAGATGGAATGTGAACCATACCTGATACCCAGATAGGAGACTCTACTACATAGTGCCCACTCCATGGCTCCTGAGCAGTCATCAATCCACATCGTCCATAAGGCAACTGTTCATAGTAACTAGCCACCAAATTCCAAGCAATTGTGCTAAAAGGTTGGTTTGATAAAAGAGAAATGCCAAAACAGCTTGTGATCAAAATGTAAATGTCTAGAAGACTGTAGTAAAAAAAAACTTTATTAGAATTTATATAAATATATGTGAAGGACCAAAAAATGACCACCCAAAACAAGAAAATATAAGTCACCTAAGTTCATTCACATTTGAAAACTCCAGCGCTGGATCCATCTAGTTATTTTTGATGGTGAATTGCATAATTAAAAAACACAAATGTATATGGGGTATATAATTTTTGCTGAACGGTGGTATAGCCAGAAGAAGAATCATGCCCTACCAGTACCAGACATGTCACAGATATGAGTCAAATACAAATAAAGGCTTTATCCATACCTGCTTTCCCTTTGACAGTTGGCCTTCTTAACGTCCCAGTTTCATGACATAATTTTATGAACTTGACTCTGAGCTGCTGTAAAGTTTTACAATTGAGAACTCTTTAAGAGTCAGACTGCCTGGGTTCAAATCATGATTCCACCACTTAACCTCTCTGGACCTCAGTTTCCTCATCTGTAAAATGAGGATAATAACTGTACCTAGCTCACGTGATTGCTGTGAGGAGTCACTGTACTAATGCCTGTAAAGTGTCTAGAACAAGGTTTGGGGTCTAAAACTGCGATGATTCTGTCTCATCTGCAAGTACTAGTGGGTCAGCTTGCTGGTCTGCATTTTGGCCCATTCTTTCAGAATTCTACAGCTGGTACTGAACCCTGAAATAGTGACTCTGTGGTTTTCAGGAAAATCCAAGGGGAAAAGGGAAGCTCTGGCCCCTGGTACTGCTGGGTTTCTCACAGCTCAAAAAAAATAACAGGGATGCCTAGATGGCTCAGTCGGTTAAGCATCTGCCTTCGGCTCAGGTCATGCTCCCAGGGTCCTGGGATCGGGTCCCGCATTGGGCTCCTTGCTCAGCAGGGAGCCTGCTTCTCCCTCTGCCTGACGCTCCCTCTGCTTGTGCTCTCTCTCTCTCTCTCTGACAAATAAATAAAATCTTAAAAAAATAAATAAAAGTGTTAAAAACAAAACAAAACAACAACAAAAAAATAACAACAATAAAAAACCCAGAGCTTACCCACAGAATTTCATTTTTTCTTACCAAGTCCTCACTCATCATAAAATGACTTTCTTAGGAAATCAAAGCCTTCTAATTCTGTCAACACAAAGTAGAAATAATAGGTCCAACTTTCAAAAATCCTTACTACCAGTGAAAACTTTAAGAGTTCCCATGATTTTACCCCTGAATTACAAGATGCACAGTATCTTCTCTGGCTAGTGATTGATGTACAAACCAAAAACTACCCGACGAGCATTTTGTGATATACACAAAAGTCTTTAAAATCTATATACCTCTGCCTGCTTCTCCCTCACCCACTCCCCCTGCTGGTGTTCCCTCTCTGTCTCTCTCTGTCAGATAAATAAATAAAATCTTTTTCAAAAAATCTATATACCTCTGACCCAGATATTTATTCCCCTTCTAAGAATATACCCTAAGGAAATAATTATAGATGTGTACAAAGATATCTGCATACAACTGATCACTTCAGTGTGTACAAAGCTGTTAACTTAAAATAGAAACAACTTCCATTTCTGGAAGAGAAGAACATTCAATGAGGTCTATTTTCTACATCAGTGCTTCCCAAACTTGTGGGGCATCAGAGTCAGCTGGGGTACTGATGACACCAACAGAGTCTCCAAAGTCTTCTGGAGAGATTACGATTCAGCAGATCTAGGAATCAATATAACTGTCTCGGGTGCTTCTTGAGACAAGGCAAGTTTGGGAAACCATGTTCTACGTAACAGAATATACATAAGCATTAAAAATTATGAAATAGAAGCATGCTTAAACATGGAAAGAAGTTCATAATGCCTTGTTGAGTGAAAAGCACCTTCTTTACTAAACATTATATAGTATGATCTTATCTCTACATTAAAATTTTATACATATAAACATAAATGGGAGGACATACACCAACATATTTAAGGATGGTTACCTCTAGATGGCAAAAATATGGGTGATCTTGTATCCTTCTTTGTACTTACATGCAGTTACTAAATTCTCTGTCATGAGCATGCATTACTCTTAACACCAAATTAAGTTCCTAGAACCAAACTCTCCATGATAAGCATCTTTTCTTTTAAAAAGAAAAGAAAAAGAGCAAAAGCTATAAAAAGAATATATCAGCTCACATTAACATCACAAAAATAAGTATTGGCTTACTTTTGTTCTATTTATTATTGTTTTAGAAAGCAAATTTGAATCTAATTACAGTTAAAGCTTCTCAGAGCATTTAAGAAATGCTTCCCTGAGAAATAAAAAGAGTTGTGTTCTGGGGCACCTGAGTAGCTCATGTAGGAGAATATCCTTTGTTTTGGTAACACATGCTAAAATATTTAGGGGTGAAGTATTATGACATCTATAATTTATAACTGTTCATTAAAAGGTATACATAACTTATCAAAAATCACAGAACTGCATAAATTTTACTATAAATAAATTATATCTCAATAAGCCTGACTTTATTCAATATAGATGATATTCAAATATAAAAAAATAGATAAGCTTAGGTGTAGATGTAGGTACAGATGAAGTTAATAAGGCAAAATGTTTACAGTCATCGAATCTAGACTGAGAGAATATGGAAGCCAATTGTACTTTTTTCTTATGGTGTTTCTGAAATTTTTCAAAATAAAAACCTTTAAAGGTTTTCAATAACTTACGCAGTCATGTAGCCATTGATATAATTCTGATTCAATATGCGGCCCAAGCAGCCTGCACCCACATCACTATTTACAGTGCTAAAATCTTCAGAAGACCAAAGCTTCTTCTTAGTCAGCTTCGCATCCTTTACTATGTGGGTCCCAGGATAATGAGCTCTAGAAAAGAAAGGGTGGAAATGGGAAAAGGCAGAACACGCCACTTATTTCTATTTGTTGAGTGAATAAAAACATGTCTTCACCAGTGTTTTCTATTTTAAAACAATGGGCAGCTTGTGGGTAGATGTCACACCAACTAGAAGCTTCTGCTTCCCATTCTTGTGGCTAAGGATGCCCATAAAATGTGATAAGCCTATACCCACACACAGAATAGGAAGGAAGATCACCAGTGGATGGGAGATTTGTTTCTAGAAACAATAAAATGGATGGAAGCACGTTGACAGAGATAGCAGAGGAGGCCACAGCCTAGAACACTCCAGGAGATGAATGAGATGGAGAGAGTATTCAGACTTCGCAGAGGAAGTTGAGAGCTCAGAACAGAAGAAAGGAGTATGAAGGAAGCCAAAAATAAGACTAATGAGTCTATTATATACCTACCCCTAAGTAGAGAGAGAGAAAGACAGCTGGGTATTTATTCCCAGGCAAAAACAAAAAGTCAACAACAACAAAAACCCAGAGAGTTATTTCTTGAATAAAAAGAAGAAACTTCCTTGGGTAAACTACAAATTATCATCCCAAAGCAGTGGTGGTTCTTAACCCTGGTGATTCTGCCTGGTGGAGAAGGCGGGGCCAAGCAGGACTTGCTACTGTCGTCCTACAATGCACTGGGCAGGTCCTCACCACAAAGAATTAGCCAGTGAAAATATCAAAAGTACAGAGGTTGAGAACCCCTCCCTTATTCCATTATTTAAGAAAAGTCAGTCAAAGTATAAATGTATATTTATTATTCTGAGTAAAATATTGCCTTAATGATGATTTTGGAAGTTACTGATTACTGAATAAAAACAATTAAGAAATTTCAAATGTGAAATAGAAAATAGATGGACAGTTAACACAAGAACAAGAGAGCACATTAGCTAAGTAACTTTAGGGACATGAGTGTCTACTTTCTAGGACAATTATTTACAGAAAATTTAATAAAAATACGAGCAGAATAATGGGGACTGGATTATATCATAATTCTAACCTTTCCAGTTTGGTGTCGCAGTATTCATTATGTTAAAAAAATGAAGACCTGTTTTGGTTTGTAGTTATTTAATTCCATTTAGGTCATGAATCTTTCAAGAAAAAGTCCTATTTGGGAATTCATTCTACCTCATGAAGATGAATTAGGGCACAGCATCAATTTGGCATTTCAGGATTTCATGAGGAAGAAAAGAACATGAAACAGATAATAGAGGACATAAAAAGAAGTATTTCAGAAAAATCAGGTACCAGCAAGATGTTGCAGCATCACTGAACTCTGCTAAAAACAGGCATCTGATTCAGTAGTGTAAACATACATTATACTTACAGAGACCTCAAGAGCAAGCTAGCACCTAACAGGGTTAAGAAATTATTATTCTGGCACTACAATGCCCAACACATGAAGTCTGTTACTAATCTTTGTAACAATTTTAACAAATTTTTACATTTTAGTTTCATAAGAATGAATCTAAAATATCCCAGAACTAAAATATCCCAAAACTTCATTCTATGATCATGATATACAGCCACATACTAATATTAAGACTCAACCCAGGGCGCCTGGGTGGCTCAGTTGGTTGAGCGACTGCCTTCGGCTCAGGTCATGATCCCGGAGTCCCGGGATGGAGTCCCGCGTCGGGCTCCCTGCTCAGCAGGGAGTCTGCTTCTCCCTCTGACCCTCCTCCCTCTCATGCTCTCTGTCTCTCATTCTCTCTCTCGCAAATAAATAAAATCTTAAAAAAAAAAAAAAGACTCAACCCATTGTTACTCGGCCAAATGTATACTTGGTGTATCTCTGGTCAAAATATACTTGTAGACTGGGGCGCCTGGGTGGCTCAGTCGTTAAGTGTCTGCCTTCAGCTCAGATCATGATCCCAGGGTCCTGGGATCGAGCCCTACATCGGGCTCCCTGCTCCGCAGGAAGCCTGCTTCTCCCTCTCCCACTCCCCCTGCTTGTGTTCCCTCTCTCACTGTGTCTCTCTCTGTCAAATAAATAAAATCTTTAAAAAATATATATATATATATATACTTGTAGAAAAAGTAAAAGCCTGGGGGCACCTGAGTGGCACAGTCAGTTAAGCATCAACTCTTGGTTTCAGCTCAGGTTGTGATCTTGATCTCAGGGTCGTGGGATCGAGCCCCACAAGGGGCTCTGCACTCAGCTCGGAGTCGGCTGGAGACTCTCTCTCCCTCTCCCTCTGCCCTGCCCCGCCGTGCTCTCTCTCTAAAACAAATAAATAAATCATAAAAAAAAAAAAAAAGTAAAAGCCTGGGAAGTAAATATGCTATTGTGTTACTAATATCTCCAGATGTTAGGATTCTGAGTAAGTTCTAAGTCTATCTTTACAAGGTTTCTACGTTTTCCAAATTTTCTATAGTCATAAATTATTTTTATAATCTGAAAAAGTATCTCTTTTAAAGTTACAGATAACTAAGAGATCCAAACACAATACTGTTGACAGTTTAAACCAACAGAAATAATGAGGTGAGCAATATGTGTATAATTTTAAATTTTGTAGTAGCTGCATTTAAACAAAGCAAAAGGGAAATTTTCCTGATATACTTTGCTTAACCCAGTGTATCCAAAATATTATCATTCAACATGTAGTTAACGTAAAAAATTAATAACATTTTACATTTTTTAAATATCAAACCTTTAAAATCCAGTGTCTACTTTACACTTAAAACACACCTAAATTCAGACTAGTCACATTTCAAGTGTCCCCTAGCTAACCGTGGCTAGCAGAAACCATATTGGACAATACGGGTTTAAACTCTTCACAATTTCAGAAATAGGCAGCCAACAATCCTATCTGGAATGGTAGAGCCTCACTATGAGATAAGCTGCTTGATAAGAATCCACACTGATTAAGGCAGGAACACTCAGCGAGAGGGAGAGACAACATTCAGGCAGTAGGGAGAATGGGGCCCAGAAGAGCAGACCCCAGAATGCACTATGACTGCAAAACAAGAGTTTCCACAGTGCAGGCCAAGTACAACATGAAGGGGGCAGGGAGATCTACGCTTCCCATGGAGGGGGCAGCCAGAGAAATGAAGAACTCCTGAACAAAATCTCAATATACCACAATAACCTGAATTTGGAAACCATCCAAATGACTATTAACAAAGAACAGATGGATAAATTGTGACTTATTCCTACAACTGAATGCAAAACAGGAATTAAAATGAACCATGTCTATACCTGGCAATATGAGTTAACCTCAAAAATACGATGTTGACCAAATTAATAGATACTCTAAGATGTCATTTATTTTTTTTTTTTTAAGATTTTATTTATTTATTTGAGAGAGGGAGAGTGAGTAAGAGAGAGCACAAGCCAGGGGGAGAGGCAGAGGGAGAAAGAGAATCAGACTCCCCGCTAAGCAGGGAGCCTGAGGCAGGGCTCCATCCCAGGACCCTGCGATCAAGACCTGAGTCGAAGGCAGATGCTCAACTGACTGAGACACCCAGGTGCCCCTCTAAGATGCCATTTAAATAAAGTTTTTTTTATTTAAAATCAATTAGCCAACATATAGTACATCATTAGTTTCAGATGTAGAGTTCAGTAGTTCATCAGTTGCATATAACACCCAATGCTCATCACATCACATGCCCTCTAAATAAAGTTTTCAAACAGGCAAAATTAGTCTATGATGTTAGGGCTAACATTAGTAGTTGCCTTTGGCACCAGAGGAGGGGCAAATGATTGGAAAGATTTCCAAGGGCTGCTCAGATACTGATAATTTTCTATTTCTTAACCTGGGTGGTGGTGATGCAGGTATGTTCACTTTGTGACAATTCATTATGCCATATTCTTATGATTTACATACCTTTATGTATGCATGCTGGTATGTGTATGTATGTATGCTATACTTTGTTAAAAAAGTTTTAAGGAGATGAGATTATTAGACAACAGAGGTATAGGAAACTAAAATGAGAGAATTATAGAATTATTATAAAAAATACATTTTAGAAATGAAGACAGGAAAAAGAAACACAAGATAGAATAGACATTGTGGAAAACACAATAAGGAAAATAGAGGCTAGCAAGGATAAAAGTATAGAGAATCAGACAGAAATAATAGCAATGGTTTGAGAGAAATAGAGAACAAAGGCAATATGCAAACAAGATCCAAAATGCATAACTGGGTCTTCTAGAAAGAAAACCAAAGTAATGGAGCAGGATAATTACTTAAATTAAAATTTAAGTAAATCTTATTGAAATAAGAAAACACTTAAATACAGATACTGAAAAGGCATATAATATACACCTGGAAATGTTAAATCGTATAGAACTACTAGACTTTAAAGTTAAAGAAAAATATTCTTTGGATATACAGGAATTGTGCCAAGTCATTTATAAGGAAGAAAAAAATAAGTCTAACCCAGGCTAATACACTCGAGAATGGCAAAACCACAAGACTGAAGAGCACCTCGTAGAACACAGTTGCTCGATCCTCTTGTATACTGTTTTGTACTTTTACTCGAGAAATAAGCATCTATCTTGCTTTAATCACATTCTGCTTTGGTCTATGAAAGCAATTTAAAACAATTTAAATGATATCCTAACACGTGGAAGCTAGAGATGGAGATGTCTGACATAGCTCAGTGATCCAAGAAGCCAGGTTATAGTTTCAATTATCTCACCATGGAAACAGAACTAATTCCTTATACTGGAATATAAGATAAGCATACCTACAAAAGGATATTTGCTATTCTTGCAGACGGTTTCATTGACTAATATGAGGCTTTTTTTATTATTTCCATTCTGCAAAAATAAGGAATTCCAGGAGCAAAATAAAATGTTTACACAAAAAATAGGAAATACTGTTTAGAGGTCTCAGACTACAAAGAACGTAGTGGCTTAAAGAAAAAGAGTTTATGGGGCGCCTGGGTGGCTCAGTCGTTAAGTGTCTGCCTTCAGCTCAGGTCATGATCCCAGGGTCCTGGGATCAAGCCCCGCATCGGGCTCC